TCAGCGGGAAGCCTGCTTCTCCCTCTCCCACTCCCCCTGCTTGTGTTCCCTCCCTCGCTGTGTCTCTCTCTGTCAAATAAATAAATAAAATCTTTTTTAAAAAAATCATTTATTTATTTTTAAGGTGGTAACATTTACTTAAAGTTACATTAAAACTGTAACATAAAGTTGGGTAATTTAGACAGCATGTTCTCATGTATCCTACCTTGTTGGGAAAAAAGTGAACTATTGTAGGTACGTGAATTCTCTGTGTGACATCAGGAGCTGAAGGATTCAGAAATGTATTGAAATTGAGCAGTTTCCTGACTTTCTAACCAGAATATTGAGTCAGAATATAATTTTTTCCTGGTGAGTTTGGATTGGTAGGTATCCCTCCTGTCCTTCAGTAGTGGTATTTTCGGTTCAGCCCTCACCAGACCCCCAGGCGGCTAGTCTTTGCAGAGTTCTTTTGCTGTTTTTTCAGAAGCTCTGCTTTGTCTCCACTTTCTCTTGGCTGTCATTTCTTAGTCTGGTCAGAATTTTATCTCTAGAAATGTCACAGTCTTGTTTTTGCTGCATCTGACCTGTTTTGCCTGGGAAACCAGCTTAAACTTGTGAGAATTGGGATTACTAGTGAAACTGAGGTACAGATACTTGTTTGAGTAAACAGATCCTCAGGAAGGGGAGATAATTGGTACATTTGATGTGGTAATCCATGGGATGCTGCTACTGATGATTCGTTTGTAGTAATATTTTGTTTTCTTTAAACTGCAAGTCTTGTGCAAATGGCAGATTTGTTTTGTTTTCTTTTTTGACATAAGTACTTGTGCCCAGTGATCTAGTTGCCAGGTTCAGTGGTTATTTTTCAGGGCATAGCTTGCTTGGCCTGTCTTTTGTTTGTTATTTCTCCTTCTTTGTTCTCCGTTTTTCTACCTCTGAGGTGGTTCCTTCTTGGTGACCTTGCTGACACAGCTTGTACCTGTTCCTTGATCACTCCTCTGGAGGACACAGCCCTGCCCTCCTGGTGTGATCGGGACTCCGCAGCTGCAGCACACACTGCTGCCTGAAGCACAACCTTCAATGAAACCTTCGGCCCGTCATGGTCAGGGTCCTGTCTGTGCTTCACTTGCCAGGATAAATTCCCACACAGTGTCTGGGTGCTTCCTAAGGAGAGGGAGAGAAGGAGCCTAAATTTGGGTGATAGAAAATGTTTGAACATTTAATAAAGCCCTATCGATCCAGGTGTGATTGTGTTTTGTGATTTTCTTTTTCTGTGTTTGACATCTGTGACTTTGGAAATTTTGCAAAATGCCTAATGATTTTGGAAAGAAAACAATATGTAAGCTAATAGTAGCTCAAACGGTTTCATTTAGAAATGATGTGGAGCATGTTTCCTCCAGGTGAGTCACTGATCTGAGATAGCAGAAGTCGATGGTATTTTCTGGCCTTTAAGTTGAATGGTTTTTGTCTTTTGCACACAGTAGATTTAATAGGTATATGAGGCTAAGTTTTCTTTAAAAAAAAAAAAATTGCCTTTAAATTCGATATAACCTTTAGTCTCAATTCTTTACCAGGCCCTATACTTTAATATTCAGTATTTTATTTAAATCCAGGTATAAGAGCTCAGATATTAATGTTTATCTAGGAAAAATAACATCTTCAAAAAAGTAATAGTTTTCTGGATGTAATTATTTAATACTTTTAAGTCTGATCTCAATAGTAATGAATCATTGTTCAGCTACATGTGACAGTAAATCTCTTTTTCAGCTGAAAATGTGTATCTAAAATGCAAGCTCACCTTAGCAGAAGCCTTTGGACAGCGTTGCCCTGTCCTCTAAAATTGGATCATGAAGGTATTGGAAAAAAATTACTTCTGGATGTTGCTTCCACTGCTTCGTTTGATAGCCGATGCTGCGGAACATGAAGAGGTAGCAAAACATGCCATAAAGTTACACCGAGGCAGAGGGGCAGCCATCACTCAGAGGAAGCAGTGGGTCCTCGATAGTTGCAGAAAGCTCTCTGGGCTGCTTCGCCAAAAGACTGTGGTTCTTAACAAACTGAAAAGTGCAATCAGAGCAGTAGAAAAAGACGTTAGCCTGTCAGATGAAGAGAAACTATTTCAGGTGCACACATTTGAAATTTTCCAAAAAGAGCTGAATGAAAGTGAAAACTCAGTGTTCCAGGCGATCTATGGCCTCCAGAGAGCCCTGCAGGGAGACTACAGAGATGTTGTGAACATGAAGGAAAGCAGTAGGCAGCGTCTGGAGGCCCTGAGAGAGGCTGCGATAAAGGTGAGTTCAGCCCGCTCTGAGCCAGAGAGCAGGGCCACGGAGTCCGGGGAGAGGGCGGTGGGCGCTGTGCTGAAGCAGCTGTGGACCGCCAGGCACCTGTTCACAGCAAAACACGTACAGAGAGTGTCCCTTCCTTGTGCATGACATCGTGGCATAGCTCCAGTTTACGGCTTCTAGGGCTTGTTCTAATGCTTTTCTCGGTTGTGGAAATCCCCAGGTAAGTAAAATAGTGACTCAAGTTATCCCAGTAAACTGACGGGGAAGTAAATATATTTGTAACCGCAATCAACGTTTTGAGTTTCTGACAACAATTCTTAGTGTGAAGGTTGGCTGCCTTTAATATGCATCCACTGAAAATAAAAATGCTAAAATTAGTTTTAAATATATACATTTGAAATAAGGATTTTGATGAAGTGTATTTTTAAAATGGTGAGATGAAACTATTACTGTATCAGATGTGATATTTATATGATTTTTTTTAAGCCATCATTTATGCCATTTATTATTTGCCAGGCATTTTATTTTTTTTTTAAAGATTTTATTTATTTGACAGAGAGAGACACAGCGAGAGAGGGAACACAAGCAAGGGGAGTGAGAGAGGGAGAAGCAGGCCTCCCGCCGAGCAGGAAGCCCGGCACGGGGCTCGATCCCAGGACCCTGGGATCATGACCTGAGCCGAAGGCAGACGCTTAACGACTGAGCCACCCAGGTGCCCCTGTGCCAGGCACTTTAAATACTGATCTTCCTTGACTTATGATGGGGTTTTGTCCCAGTAAGTTGAAAGTACAGCAAGTCAGAAATACATTTAATGTACCTAACCTGCCCAACACCATAGCTTAACCTGGTTTACCTTAAACGTGCTTAGGACACTTACGTTAGCCCACCGTTGGGCAATATTATCTAACATGAAGCCTATTTTATAATAAAGCGCTGAATATCTCATGTAATGTATTGAATTCTGTACTGAAAGTGAAAACAGAATGCTTGTCATTGTGTCCATTGTTTACCATGTGATCGCTGGCTGATTGGGAGCGGTGGTCCCATGCCACTGCCCAGCATCACGAGAGGACCTCTTTGCCTATGGCTAGCCCAGGAAAAGATCACTTCAAAATTCCAAGTGTCGTTTCTGCTGAGTGTGTATCACTTTCACACCATCGTGAAGTCAGAAAGTTTTAAGTCCAGCCATCGTTAAGTCAGGGGCCGTTGGTATATGAAATATTTCATCTTCTTACAAAGGTTATGGTATTATCACACAGTTTAAAAAGTAGAGAGGGTACAGACTTATTAAACTTTCTTTACCGAAGTATGGTGTATTTGGTAGAAACACGGTATGGAGTAGATGGCTGAGTCAGGGTTTTCGGCCACCTTGATTCAGTAGCGTGTCTGTTTAGTGTGTGTGATTGTATGTTGGAAATAGACCTTGATGCTCTCATCTGAACAGATGTTACTGCCTTACCAGATCCTTTGGACAGCTGAGACATTAAAACTCCTTGGTTTTAAAGATAGGCACGTAGTGGTATTGATTTGAGTGGTTTTACTATAAAATAGAGAACTAACATGAGTTTGAGCCATATTGACCCAACTACACATGCCTTCTACACATGGTTTGTGCCCCACATGTGAGACAGTCCAGGTATCGGTAGCTGTGTGTGTGTGTGTGTGTGTGTGTGTGTGTGTGTGTTAGAGTTGTTGGTTGATGTTGAGTTAGGGTCTGTCAAACAGCCATGCTTGTCCTTGGCACTGTCCTGCTGCTTCCCTGTTCCAGCTGTGCCCCACCCCTTTAAAGTATGACTACGTATCTTAATAGTAAGGATGCTGATCTGATTGATAGCTTGAGCTTAAATATGATTGTCTAAAATACCTGTATTGTTGGTACCATCCATCAGTTTCCCAGGTAATGCTGTCAGTTTCTTCTGGAACAATTTCTCCTTTGTAACTTGGAATTTTTGTGTATCCTGCTTAGAAATTTTTAGCTCAATGATCAAGTATCACAGGTGTTTTTAGAGTACAGCTGAACGTCCATATGTAGTAGGCATGATGTCTGGACTATAATCTGTTCAGTGAGTGGTTTTGTATGAATAGGTGACCTTCAGAATTTACTGACAGTCGTATATCACGTTTGTTGATGTGTACATACAAATAGCTTTCCCTAAACATTTTGCTAAGCTCCATTATGCTTGAGTGATCTAGGATACTTGACCTTCTGTCGTTGACCCGAGCCAGATTTACATGATTATGAACATATTTGACAACGAGAGCATGTTCGTTGGTGTGGCCGGACCAGGCACCTGAAGGAAGTCCTAGCCTGGCCCATTTCTTAATAAACCCCACATTTCATTTCTCACCAATGAACAGGAAGAGACAGAATATGTGGAACTTCTGGCAGCAGAAAAACATCAAGTTGAAGCTCTCAAAAATATGCAGCATCAAAACAAAAGTTTATCCATACTTGATGAAATTCTTGAAGATGTGAGAAAGGCAGCCGATCGTCTAGAGGAAGAAATAGAAGAACATGCTTTTGATGACAATAAATCAGTAAGTAGCATTCCAGGACAATTTCCTCTTTGCTCGGGCTGCTTACAGAGAGGATGTGTCATTGAATTTGTTGGCATGTCTGTTTCTAGTGTGGATTGAAAATGAAGACAGAACCAAAACACCTGTGTCTCAGAAAGTGCTCTGGTTTGGTTATGCCAAGGTACACTAGATGCCCTTTACTTTGCCGTATGTTTTTGTCACTGCCCCACCGGTGGCTCGTCTCTGTCCCACTTTTGCCTTCAGGGGGACTGGGACTCTGGTCTCAAGAAAGCTTGCCCTGGGACAGGCGGGTTTCAGTGCTGGTCTACTCAGGGGAGCCACAAAGTCCTTATAGGAATCATATCCTTGGCAGGCTTTCAGACCTCTCACTTGCTGTGACATGTTCAGGATTCTCTGGGGAAAATGAGATCAATGCCAAAAACTGATAGTGAGTCCTAAAAAGAACTCAGAAAAGCATGCGGTAATAAAAGCAAATGGGAACACAGCTCGGGGCGGATGAGCGCCAAGCAGGCTGCTCTCTGACGTCGTGGACCCTGGCAGGGGAGGAGGACGCATGAGTGTCTTTTTGAAAGAATGTGCCCTTTATGCACTGCTCACCGAGCACTTCTGTGTCAGGCCATCGGGCTTTCCCTGCCACGTAATCCTGGAGTTCACTTCTGCCCCCGGCACCGTGGGTCAGTGCGGACCCTGCAGACAAGGGCGCAGCCCAACACGGCCCTCCATTTCAGATGCCAGTCACGGGTTCCAAGTTTTCACCTTGGAGGATCCCACACCCCCCTCCTTGGGCTCCCAGAACACAAGGAGATAGTTTATTTGCTAGGTTACCAGGACATTGTGACGGATACAGCTCAGAAACAGCCAGCTGGAAGAGGGGTGAAAGCGTGTGGCCACAGCATCCCTGCTCTCGGGCCTGTTTCCTTCCCTCCCAGCTGAGCACCTCCATGTGCTGAGCAACCTGGAGGCTCTCCGAACCCCATACTTCAAGGGTTTAATGGAAGCTGCCTTGTGTAGGCTGGTGATGAACTCAGCCTCTAGCCCCCCTCCTCCTGGAGGTCACATGGTCGGTTCCTTGGGTGGCCAGCCCCATCCCGTGGGTAGCCAGTGGCTTTCTAAAAATCCCCTCACTGCTGTGAACTCAGGGGAAGTTGCAAAGGGCTCATAAGGTGCTCCTTACACATAGGAAATTACACGGGTTGTGGGAGCTGTCAGCCAGGAAGGGGGGTGAAGACCAAATATGTATTTCTTGTTACAGGTTGTACCCTGAGTCAAGTAGAGCAGGTGTTTGGAAGTAATAGAAACCCTAAACACTTCCACCCTTAAATCACTTTTTTATTTGAAACAATTTTCCTAATTGATGTTAATGAGCATTTATCGATCTTTTATCTCATATGACAGAATACTAGAAACATTCCTGTCACTTCTCTATAGAATTATGCTCTAAAAATTGAACTTGAGAACGTCTCCTTGTTTTTAATTACACAATATTGGTTCTTCCTACAGGTGAAAGGGGTCAATTTTGAGGCAGTTCTCAGAGTAGAAGAAGAAGAGGCCAATTCCAAGCAAAACCTTACGAAGCGGGAAGTGGAAGATGATTTGGGTCTTAGCATGCTCATCGATTCCCAGAACAACCGATACATCTTGACCAAGCCTCGAGATGCCACGATTCCACGCGCAGATCACCACTTCCTAAAGGTGGTCTGTCTGCTCAGCTCTCAAAATCCCCACTCCCTCTTTCCCATTCCCTTGTATACATGTCAAGTGAGATCGAGCTTTACTTCCTGAGCATCATAATAGGGTGCGCGACCTTCCTCCTAACAGAGATTCTACCAGTGTTCTGTGACTTGAAACATTTTCTCCTGATCTTTAATTTTTTCCCAAAAGAATAAGGGAATAAGGCATTTTTTTAAAAATTTTATTTATTTATTCATGAGAGACAGAGGCAGAGGGAGAAGCAGGCTTCCCACTGAGCAGAGAGCCCGATGTGAGGCTCGATCCCAGGACCCTGGGATCATGACCTGACCTGAAGGCAGACGCTTAACCAACTGAGCCACCCAGGCGTCCCGGGAATAAGGCATTTTAATATTTAAAATGAGTATTAATTTTGCTTGTGAGAATTTGAAAGTCTTTTTGAAGTCGGGAGCTACTCTGACAGGCTCAGGCTCTGTCACTGAAATGGAACATCGGATGAAGCAGAGAGGCTTTGGCTCAGGTGTTGCATGTGGCTCTGTGTAGCCGTGGGTGCGGGATGAGACGCGGCTCCTCCAGAGGTGACTGGTGTTCCAGACTGAGCTAGACGCACATCTGTGCCCTCTGAGGAAGCCAGTCTAGTAAAGATTTGTAGTTGACAGTGTTATGGGTGGAGATCACGGCTTGGGTTGGGACCAGAGTGGGCAGCAGGTACAGGAGTGACCCGGGCAGCCTGCTCAGGGAAGGATAGCGGGGTCGAGACACACTGTCAGGTCTCTAGCCTAGTCCTGGAAGCCGGAATTTGTGCTTTTCTTAAAGAGGATGGCAGCACAGGCTGGGAGGAAGGAGTGCTGGGCGCGGCTGACTCCTGTGCCGAGAAACTCAAACCAGGAAGGTCAGTCCCGGTACTGCCTGCCTTCATTATGACCAGAATGGAAACTGGGAGGGGCCGGGGCTGTAGAACATCTGCTTTCTCTGCTAACCAGCCCTGTCTCCTTGTCTTGCCAACTATTATCTTGAGTGTTTATGTCTCTTTTTTGTTTATTCTGCTCCAGGACATTGTTACCATAGGAATGCTGTCTTTACCTTGTGGCTGGCTGTGCACAACAATAGGGTTGCCTACGATGTTTGGTTATATCATCTGTGGAGTACTTCTGGGGCCTTCAGGACTAAACAGTATTAAGGTAAGAGCGAAATTGAACTGTTCTAGTATCTGTTTAACAGAATACTAAAGAAACACCAAGACTAAAGAGTTTTGAAGTTTGAACTTGAATTAAGGTAAGTTTCTTACAAACCATATCAAAGAAGATGCCCTATAAAGTTTCATAAGAAATTTCTAAACCATAAGGAAGTAATTTTGTTCATTAGTGAATGGATGACTTGACTAGAGAAAAAATCCTGTTCATGTCTTTAAATTTTATTAGTTTTAGAAATTCTTTTTCCAGTAATAGGATGAACTATATTATTCAGACACTGAAAGCAACTCACAATGCTGGATTCAATGTATAATCCAGAAATTTGTAACATATTTTAAAGCTGGTAAAGTAGTGAGGAATTATGAAGCCTAAATGTGGGGTATTGTGAAAACCCCAGGAGACAGTGCTGAGGCTGCTGTTACTAGAGGCTGTTGGCTGGACAGATTGAAGTGAGCTTCGTCCTGTGTCGATGGCACTTTTTGGCAGTAAGGAAGGGTTCCCAAGCTTTTGTGGGCTCCAAAATGTGTTGTCTAAATACGCACAATTCAGACAAAATGAAAAGAGAATGCCAAGAATGAGCATCATGAGTCCCACACAGAAGGAGTAGTACAGAGCGGTGAGAAACAAGCAGCAGAGTCCTCAGACTGTCCCTGGCCTTTCTAGCTGGGTAGAAGAGGGGCAGGCAGACAGGGAGAGGTGTGGGCGCTCCGCTTGCAGCCTCGCCCATACAGCGAACTGAGACGCCTTGCCAGGCAGAAGGACGGCTGCAGCTTCTCCAGACCGGGTCACAGAAGAAGGTGTGAAAAAAGTTCTTATCCCGAAGCAATCTTAACAGTGGGTCTGATTGGCTGAGGGGGCGGGGAAGGTTGTGCTCGGGCTCAAAGCCCAGGACCTTCATGGCAGGTGCTCTTGTGGGCTGGGCTCAACTTGGCAGGGTGACCTCTGGGAAGAATGGTTTTTGTTTTTGTTTTTTTTTAAAGATTTATTTATTAGAGAGAGAGGGCACCGCAGAGGGAGAGAAGCTGACTCCTCACTGAGCGCAGAGCCTGATCTCTGAGATCCTAAGCCTGAGATCATGACCTGAGCCAAAACCAAGAGTTGGACACTCAACCGACCGAGCCACCGAGGCGCCGCTGGGAAGAATGGTCT